ATTAAGAGAATGTAACTATATATCTATCCTAACCATTTTGAATACACAGATACAAAATGGACATTCATCTGTATCCCCTTTTTTGTTTAGTTCCATGTTTTGAATATCATAGGTGTGTTAACTCAGCAAAATATTCTAAAAGAGTCCAGTAGTTCATAATAGCATTGGGTCTTCTGCTTCACTGGCAGTGTCAGAAATTGCTGACAAGAGTCCCCTACAGCTGAACATAACACCATGGCTTTACTTCTTATACTTTGTTTTTATACTTTTCTGCTGGTTGGGTTAAGACTAAGATAAAGCAAGACCTATGCAACAAAAGTTGTAACTTTTGGATCTGATAAGGTCAGTCAAATCCCCTCAGGATTTATCCTGAGATCCTATACCTCAGTTGGTAGATCCTTTGTCAGTGTCAGCCATATGGATGAGTCACGGCCATTGGTTGGCCAATGTGCTCTCTGTGAAAGCCTGAGAGAATGTTTTCTCTCCACATGACTCTCCTTAGGCATACTCTACATCATTGATCACTTTCCTCTTTGGGCCCAAAATCTCCTTGATCAGAAAATTTGGGATACTACTGAGTTACATGTACAAAACTATATTACTTTCACTATATTTTAATTTTTTCTGTAAGCACCAATTCCAGCCCATATCCTTACATTTACCCTGGAAGCCTCTAGATGTAGTAAAATGGATGGAATTCCTATAATTGTGGTGTACACTCAAAATCATCCACAGCCCACAGGCCATAAGAGTAGTCTGGAGTCAGGAAGCACACAGAGTGGGGGAGAGGTGGCCTGTGGAAGGTGGGAGAGTCCACTTGGGGAATTAGGTCTTACACAAAAACATGGGTCAGGAAACGGATGCACAGATGGTATGTGTGCTTAATATGCTATGAAAGGAGTGGCTGGCTCCTATAAGCCTGAAATACTGCACTTAGGTCAAATACTACATAGAGCTGCAACAGAAGGAGAATATTCCATTTTATATTTGATTGATGCATGCAGTATCATGGCAAATTTGGGGCATCATTTCGAAAACTGATAGCAACCCAAATGGGTAGAGCACCTTTCTAACAAGTTAAAGCTACTTGATGGAAAATACCTGTTCCATGTTATGCCTAAGATGTCTGATATTCAGAAAGATAGTTAGGTTAAACCCAATTGAATATATTGTAGGGTAATAATAAGCTTCTCTTCTGGGGGCTAACAACTTAAGTCTGCAGGCCAAAAATTAGAGAAAAAGAAGGGCTGCAAGGACAGTCAATATTTTGACCCTAGCCTTTCAAGGTCAGTGAAGACTCAGGACATAGGAGAACCTATACTGTAACATCATGTAACTCAGTTATTCCCCAAATTTTCTGATCAAGGAGATTATAGGGCCACAGAGCAATGTGATCAATGATGTAGAGAATGCATAAGGAGAGTCACATAGAGAGAAAACATTCTCTCAGGCTTTCACAGAGAGTACATTGGTCAAGCAATGGCTGTGACTCATCCCCATGACTGACACTGACAAAGGATCTGCAAACTGCAGTACAGCGTTACAGGATAAATCCTGAGGGTACTTGACTAACCTTATCAGATACAAAAGTTACATTTCTTGTTATGTAGGTCTTGCTTTACCTTGGTCTTAACCATCCAGCAGAAAAGTATAAAAACGAGGTATATAAAATAAAGCCATATTAATATGTTGAGCTGTGAAAGGCTCAAGTCAACAACTTCTGTGGCTAACCCACTACTATTGTGGACTGCTGGACTGTGTTGTATTGTTTTGCTGAATTTACACACCTATGGTATTTAGATACCAATGGAATATCCATCTCTGACAGGACTAAATAAAAAAAGGGAATACAAAGGAAGGACCATTTTGTATCTGTATATTCAGAATAGTTAGGCTAGATATACAGCTACTTTCACTTAATTCAATGAGAAGAAAGATTTGTACTAATAGTGTTTGGACAGGATATCCTGTCTGCATCTTGTGCTATGGATAACCACTAAGAAGATAACAATGCACAATGTATTAATTACTGTAACTGTCCTATTAATCAGTTTTGAAACTGTCAAAAAACCCCAACAAGTTAAGGGGTTCAGGTTTCACTAAACTAATTGCTTCTAGTATGTGCATCTGATTTAGAGGCCAACTGAGTTAGAAATTATAGCACCGTCAGTAAGAGAGAGAGGAAAAGAATGATGCCATCATCTCAATGCTCCACCTGCTAAAACTTTAATGTTTAAAGGGAAGTTTCTTAGTTCACAAATGTGGACAATGCCATCAAGAGCCCAGAGCCATTATGAAGGGGGAGATAATGCACACATAGCTCCAGCACAGTTCTCAATACTTGATTGTTGTTTAATTATTAATTATTATTGACATAAGGACATGTGCTGGAGTGAAGGAGAGGATGACATGCGCAAAGACAGTCACTGGTATGATACCACCATAAAGGTTGCTGTCCTCAACGTGAGCCTTGAGTTTTCAATATTGATTTCTAAAATATACTTTATTATAGGTAAGTATGGATATGTCAAAATATAGTACAGCATGGATAGGGTTAGGTGTTCTGCATGGTTTTAGATGTGTGCATTATGGATAAGGGAATACTCGTACATTAATATACAAGTTTATTCACTTTACCAATTATAAAAAATTATCTAAAGTCTTTATTGACTCAATAATTTTGCCCTTCTATCTTCAGAGGCAGCCACTATTGTAATTTTGGTGTAGGACCTACAGGTCAATAAATAGTTTAGAATTTGTTGCAATAGATACATCCATAAGAAATAGGCAGCATTGCTTGGCATGTGCACATTTAGAAAAAGAAGTATTTTATATTCTGCAACTATTTTCCTCACTCAGTGATATAATTTATGCATATACATCGATGGGCTGAAATCAGGTTCACAACTTTTGGCTGCAGCAAAGTTTTATGCGTAGCACATTTGCTTAGCCACACCACTGTTTTGTTATTTGAAAACATAATCTTTCTGGGGCACACGTGCATGTGTACTATGTGCCTGTGCGTGTTTGGGCAGCACTAACCCAGAAGTACAATCACTAAGTTTTAAGTTATTTCAGTGTATTTTCCACTTTGAATGAATGAATGCCATGAACTCATTCTCCAAAGTACCCGTGCTACTAATGAGAGTCCTCCTCCAGCAGTTGTATGAGCGCGCCCGCTTCTGCACCCTTCACTGGCTCTTGCGGCTGCACGTTTTTGTTTTTTGCTTTTTTGTTTTTGTTTGTTTTTTTTTTTTTTTGGTCTGTTTGTTTGCTAAGATGATGATTCTCATAATATCCCCTTGGTATTTCAATTTGCATTTCTTTGATTACTCCTGGGGTTAGGCATTTTTGTACATGCTTATGGGCCATTTTTTTTTTACTTTGTAAATTATGCATTTTATCCCCACAGTTCATTTTTTTCTATTGGGTCATCTTCTTGTTTAGTGTAGATTTGCAGAAGGTCTATAACTGCTGGATTTTAGTCCCACTTGTTCTTCAGGAAAAGGCCAGGAAGCGATGGATTCTAATTCCTTTTCTATGTATTTGAAGTGCTTGCCATCAGCCTGCTGACCGCCTGCATGCTTATGATAGCCCGTTCCCTATACGAATCCTAGATTTTGATTTGTAAAACTTTCCTTGTGCAAAAATCTTCTTTATGATTTGTTCTGTAAACTTTATGTCTTATTTAAATAAGACTTCCCTGTCCCCAGAGTGAAAAAGATGGTCTTCTGTGATTTATTCTAATAACATGAATGCATTTCCCTTTTACATGTAGGTCTTTAACTCCTCAGGTGCATACTGCTGCAGCAGCCAATCACATTTCCCCATCTGCTTTGAGGCGGGGTGATCCCGTTCCTCCAGAATCCCTGCAGCACCAGGAGAGGTGTCGATTCAGTCCAGAAGGTGGCGCTGCACAGTCGCGAGCGGCGTCCCGCTTGAACTGACCAACTGCTTTCTTTTCACAATCTTACAAGGAGTAATAGTCATAGCAAGTGTCACAAGCACTTTTTTTTTTAATGTTTCCTTTATTTCTTCTTCTTTTTTTTTAACGGTCAGCTCAGCCCACCCTGTGGGCGGGGCTGGCATGGCATGTGGTGCTGGGGATCGAACTGAGGTCCCTGCATGCTTGCCTAAGCAGGCACTTTAGACCACTGAGCTATCTCGCCAGCCCCAACATGCATTTTTTAAACATTGCATATTAAAATGTGGCATGCAGCCAGGTCACGATTCTCACCGGGAGAATCTAAATTCTGAGTTACATGTTCTATGAACTTTTCTGTGAGTATACACATGTCCATGCCTGCAGCTTCTCTACAGCAGTTTGCATGCGACTGGCTCTATTCTTGCTGAGCCAGATCTCACTGAACTCATTGTCCACAGAGTACAACTCTGTCCTATAATTATCAAATTTTCTATTTCCCCTACGGCTAGGTTTTCTGAAAAATCCCTTAAAGCCCTTCAGGACATATTTGGAGAGGTCCTTTGTAAAGATTTAGAGTTCAGTGAAAACGCCACCTGCCACTGCGCAGACCATGGGAACAGAATGGACAACTCACATCGCTGGCGATGTCTCTGGAGGCCTTGGCCGCCACAATGGGGATGGCATCACTCCGCAGGTCGTAGCCCTTCTTCTTAGCTTCTTCATTGGCAAGTTTATACAGACTCTAAATTCGGGCCAAAGAAGTTGAATATTGACATTTATATCCAAAAATTGATAGATGACTTAAGTAAACAACTCACTAAGTTCTCTATGAGTGCCCACAATAATATCATTTTGGGAGCTATAAAACTTCTGCAATTTTGTAAAAATAAAAACTTTATAACTTATGCTGAATTAATGAAAATTTATACTATTTCAAAATTTTTACCAAAAACAATCAAGCTTGAAAGTATTAAAAAAATTAAGCTGAAACTCATAGACCTAAAGCAAACAGTAAAGAAACATTGTTGAAGGCAGTTAATTAAATTCACATCTATTCTGCACTGATTTTGTGTCTGTGACAGTGATGGGTACTTGAAAATCAAAGGTGATTTTCAGCTTCAAAGTGTTTGTTGGAAGTAATGAAACAAGGGATGGCCATATAGCTCAGTGGATTAAAGTGGCAGAGCCATGGTTAGGGGTTCGATCCCCGGGCCTGCTATGCCAGCCCCGCCCCCTGGGGCTCACTGATGGCAATTGAGACTAGGCCTGGTGGCACATGCCTGTAATCCCAGCACTTAAGAGGCTGTAAAACAGATGAATCACTACAAGTCCGACCTAGTAGTGAGACCCTGAACACCCTATAAGCCCTTCCTAAAATACAAAATAAATAAATAAATAAATAAATGTAATGAAACAAATAGAACTGTTGACTACCAAGAGCTTGAGGAAGAGGTCTATGCTACGGTTGTGGGTGTGACTGCTGCACCCTTCCACCATGTCACCATGTCTGCCTAGAGCCAGCTGACCATGGACTGAAATCATATACCAAGAGCCAGGAAGGTTCCTGCTGAGTGTGATCTTTGACTTGGACCCTGAATGATGAGCTAGCTTTCCAGCGAAGGGGGAGCAGATTGCACGAAGCAGTGAGCAGGGGCATGGGTGTGCCCAGGTGTTGAAGGAATCCCAGAGAGAAGTGGCCAGCAGGGACAGTGTTGAGCCAGGAATACTTGAAGAATTTGCTGCTTGCTTCTACAAAAACTAGGAAACTAACAAGAAGCTCCAAGAGGAAAGAGCAATGTAGTAAACTTCCATTGTTATCTTTCTTTTCTAAGTGAGATGGAAACACAAATAAATTGAACTATGTAAGTTAGTAGAGAAAAGACAGAAAAGAGTGTGAGCAGGTTAGGTGCTCAGTCAACCGCAATGGCCTGGTTGAACTAGCAACTGTATTCCAGGACCTGCGAGGCTTTGCACAGCCCAGAAATGCTGAGTGCAGTGTTCCAGGGGCTTTTTATCTTCCAAAATTCTTGCATATGCAGTGTTTGCCTTCCTGTAACAACTAAATCCTTTCTGATTTGAGAGTAAGATTTAATGTTTTTAGCTTTTGATGACAAGGACTAGTTATATAAAATTATAATCTGCTTTTCTAAAATAAAATTACTGAAGATGGTTGTTATTCTCTCTAAATTCTGTAAATTATATTCAACAGAAGAGTAATACTCTGTTGATCTGTGCTGTTGGAAACATTTTACTTGCTGGTGGCACAAAGCTGGGAGAAAAAAACTAACATATCAGCCAACAGAATTATAGATGCGCAAAAATCTCCATAGCTTTAAAACCTATAGCCTCAATCTAAGAAAAAGGAGTTGCACAGAGATAAACGTCAAGGTTGAGCTAAGATTTAAATTATTAAATGCATAAGTGAAGGACAGAAGAAACTGAGCTTTAGCTTGTGTTACTTGTCGGGGAGGTGAAGTTATCCCCAGCTCACGGGCACAAGCAGGGCACAGCAGCCAGCGCTCCCCGGAAGCACAGGGCTGCAGAAATGACGTCAGTGTTCAGAAGAGAATGTGTGAGAGGCCACCGCCTCTACTCTGGCCATTCCTTGTTGTTCTCAGTGTCTTGCTCAGTTTTGAGTCATATTTTTCCAGTAATGGCATTTCAGAAATTTGGAAAGTTTGTGGATTTCAGAGAGAACCCAGGGTGGGGCCAGTGAAGGGGAGAGACGGTGGCTGTGTATATCTCGATGGGTGGGCACAGATTGGGTCCTCTGGCATCAGAGGACCGTGTGTTTTTACAGGGAGAAATGTGACTGAATACCTCAGAGGCACTTTCCAGTGGAATTTCCCAGGACAAATAAATCAGTTAGAGATAAGGTCTGTGTCACTGGGAACCCCTAAGCAAAGGCAGAACATCCTGCTGAGGGGGGTTCCTGTACTGGAAGAAGGGACAGGGCCTCTTAGGAAGCTCCATTCCTAAGTTTCTGGGATTCCAGTAGGGAGGCCCCCCCATGCTTACCAGAAGCTAGGAGGCCAGAGGTTTGTTAATATATGCACTGAGAGATTCTCATCCGCATTGTGTGTGTGTGTGTGTGTGTGTGTGTGTGTGTGTGTGTGTGTGTGATTTGTTGGTACTGTCATTTTAGTCTTTAATCTTTTTTTTTTCCATTTTAGGGAAAGGTCTACAGGGTGTTCAGGGTCTCACTTCTACATCAGACTCATAGTGATCCTCCTGTTTGCAGCCTCCAAGGGCTGGGATTACAGGTGCACACCACTACTCCCAGTCTCAATCGCCACCCAGTCTCAATCGCCTTCTCGGCGTACCCTGAGGGCGGGGCTGACATGGCAGGCCCAGGGATTGAACCCTCGGCCTCTGCTTCTTTGCAGGTGCTTTTATCTACTGAGCTATTTGGCCGGCCCTTTTAATTTTAACCTTAACCTTAAAAACATCTTAAATTTTGATTCTATGCTACAATTTAATGTTATACATGAAAAACATATCAGCTAAAGCTTTGCTCTAGCATCCATGGGGGATTCATGCATGTGCATGGGTCTATTGCTAATCTCATTTCAAAAATTAATTGAAAAAATGTACTTGCTCTTATGATTGGTGCTGAAACCGAGTCATTCTGAAATCATTGATCCCCTTAAATGGTAGTTCTTATTACTTAACACTGGACATTTATGACAGTGATTCAGAAACTTCAGAGTCAGTTTTCATATGAAGCAAGAAAAAGGGCTTTTATAAAGCCGCCGTCTTAGTGCCCCATCACAGCGGAACCCATCGACTGACATAAGAAACACTGTGCAAAAGGCAGAGAAGTAGCGCCCGCTCTCACCTCACTGTAGTTGATTTTGTTCATTCTCGCCAACATAATTTCTGGTGTATCTGGCATTATGTGGATCTGGGTCTTGTCTTTGTCCCAGGCTTCTGTGTACAAACGCTATTAAAGAAAATCAGTGTATAAACAATAGAAATTTTAGGGTTATAACTTTATAAACAAACAAAAGACAAGGTTATGGTGTTTTACATACATTGTGTATTTTGCATAAGCCTCCAAATAATCAGTTCCCAGTGGAATGCTTTTATACATGACTTCTGATAGTCTGAAAATACTAATGATTAAAAGGAAACTACAAATAAACTTCTCTTATAAAAAGACTTTTAAAATATGCCATTTTATCAAAACTATGAAACAATAACTGACAGAAATGTTAAGACATAAATGTGCTATTTCGGATAGATGATAGGTGCAGCGCCAAGGACAGGCGACACTGTGATGGACAATGGGCGGCTTTGTGGCCCAGTACTCTGCTTTCTTTTCTCAGTTACACTTTTCTTTGTTTATTTATTTTGTGGCACCAGGGATCAAACTCAGCACCTTGTGCTTGCCAGGCGGGTGCTTATGCCACTGAGCCATCTCCCTGGCCCCTCTCAGTTACACTTTTCTTTGACTCAGCAGCAAGAACCCTGCCTTGGCTGCCTGGATTTGAAAGCCTCACCTTGTTCATAGTGATGGCGTTATTCTTGGCCAGCACTTGTTCCAGAGAATCAGTCACGCTTGTAAACTTGAACTTGTCTGGAGGCTGACGGTAGATCTTATCACTCAAAATCTCAGTCGCCCTTTTGCACTTTTCCACATCCAAAGAGCCGATGGGCACCCAGCCAATGCCTCTCAGCCACTGGAGATCTGATTTGTACATATTCTGTGGACGTAAACAGTCAGTAAATACTGATCCCTGTATTGGGAATACATTTTCTCTAAGGCAATAAAATCAAGTAGAAGCCCTTAAGCAGCATGTATACTAGAATACAGTTTGATAGGCAAGCAAGGTACAGACAATATCTCATTTCGCCTAGAGGGCTTAAGGGTTAACACGGATAAGGAAAGCAGGTGTCCTATCCCTCCCTCCTTGCGTGGTGCTACCTAGTGCTACTTCTCCAAGCAAAGCTGTTTTACTAGTTTTCCGCCTTTGTATGTTCTTATGACCCTCAGCACTCACGTCGCTCTGGAGGTCGTAGGCCTGCCGGGCGTGGATGACGTCATTCTGGTCGGGCAGACACGTCCACTGGTGCAGGTGGTGCTTGTAGTCCACGTCGCTCACCAAGGTCTGGCACTTCTTGGCCAGCACCACGCCCAGCATGTCCACCGGGCTGCTGAACTTGGTCTTCCACTTCTCGAAGTCTTTCTTATACTCCCTGTCACTCTGGATCTTGGCCACATGCATGGACCACATCATCTTGGGGTCATCATGTATAGCCCGAGCACCGATATGGTGACCCAGTTGCTTTCGATAGCCTTCTTTGTACTTGAACTAGAAGAAGAAAAAGACTGATGCTCATACCCTTTAACTTTTGTTAAAAGCAATTCTTAAGCACTACAAATAATTATTTTCTTTGAATATTAATAATACATAATACCATTTAGAAAATGAAATGTACACACCAAAAAAAGAAAAATTAACACAGTTCTACTACTAAAGACAAATTTTTGTGGTGTGTGTATGTGTATATATGAAAGAGAAAGAATAAAATTAGCGCATGAGTCATACATTGCCTGATATTTTTCCATGTTCTTTTAAGCTATTATATAAGCAGTTTTGTATGTCATTAAATATTCTTTTTTTTTTGCATTTAGTGCAGGGTCTACAGGGTCTCACTATACAGATTGGATCTGTAGTAATTCTCCTTTTTTTAGCCTCCCAAGTGGTGGGATTACAGGTGTGCACCACCATGCCTAGTCTCAATCTCCTTCTCAGTGTGCCCCAGGGGTGGGGCCAGCATGGCACACTAGGGATTGAACCCAGTCCCTGCATCTGCCTAAGCAGATGCTTTAATCCACTGAGCTATCTGGCCAGCCTGTTAAATATTCTTTTTAAGGATGATTTTTAATAACAGCAGGTGTTTCACTGCATGAATATATGTTAATACAATGAACCTTTCTGTGGATCTTTTTTTATTTTTATTTATTTATTTATTTATTTTAACATTTATTTTGTATGTGTGTGTGTGTGTGTGTGTGGCCAGCTCAGCCCACCAGGGGGCAGGGCTGGCTGGCATGTGGTGCTGGGGGATCGAACCGCGGTCCCTATGCTTTTCCAAGCTTGTTCCAAATAGGTGCTTTAGACCACTGAGCCATCTCTCCAGCCCCCTCTTTTTTAATTTTTAAAATTTTATGTATTTGGTGAAGAATCTCACTATGCAGATCAGATTCACAGTGATCCTTCTGTTCAGCCTCCCCAGTGCTGGGATTAAGGTTTGTGCCACCATGCCCAGTCTTGGTAGCTGGCTCACTGCACCTGGGGCATGGCGGGCATGGCATGTACTACCAGGGATCGAACCTGGGTCCTTGAGCTTGCCTAGGCAGGTGTTTAGACCACAGAGCTATCTATCTCTGTGATCCTGACCATTTATTTTTAAATTATGGTAATTAATTTTCACATTTTAGAAATAAAAGAAAAATATCTTATCCTCATAGATAAAACAAAGGATACTTTTTTTTTTTTTTAGAAGTGTGAGCAAATACATCTTTCAAAGAAAATAAGTATCTGTAGCTGCTCCCGGGGTGTACAAATATATGGTCTGCACACATGGTCGAACTTGGACCTTACAATTCTTGTTTACTGTGTCCTTGCAGATTTATTCATTTCTGGGCCATACATGGGGATTTGAAGGAACTGCACAAGTTTGCTTATATAAAAGAAGCATGTTGTGTGGACAGGCCAGAAAGATACCTGAATTATAGTATGCAGTATGCAGTAGCTGTATGCAGCAGGAAATACATAATATTTGCAATGTGTGTTGCTATGGACTCAGCGAGAGCTAGACTTTGGGGCCAAGAATTTTCTTACTATGGTTTCCTACCATTTTCTAACAAAATGAACTATTAGCAACAACTTTATCCTCTTTGTTTTACTTTCTGCACTATGAATCCAGGAGAGAGAACACCATCTTCAAGCTGGAACTGCAGTAAAGGGCTCCTCAGGGTACTCACATCACTGGCGATGTCTCTGGAGGCCTTGGCCGCCTTGATGGGAATGGCATCGAGTCGCATGTCATAGCCTTTCTTCCTGGCTTCTTCTAGACCGAGTTTATATAATTTCTGGAACAGGTATAAATAATCTTCAGTTTTATTTGTAACATGAATTACAAGGAAAATATACCAGTCACCACATATTTATTTCTTACCTCACTGTAGTTTATTTTGTTTTGTTTAGCTAGTAAAACCTCGGGAGTGTCCGGCATAATGTGGATGCTAGTTTTATCTTTATTCCAGCCTTCTGTGTAGAGGTGCTAAAACACATGATAAGAAAGGGCAAGTATGGGTCAGTAACGAGCAGTCTGATTCTTAATGAGAATAAAGAGATTCTGTGCTGTGAACTTGTACTTGTGACACTTTCAGGCTTACATGCCTGGTGTCAGTAAGAAGCACCACACTTATTTTAAAATCACTTCAGTAGCAAGCAAAAGGGTTGAAGCGAGATATGCTTCCACACAAAGATTTCAGTGCTTCCACAAAAAAGAAAAAATAATGCCATCCCCACACAAAGAAAGGACTTACATGGTTCATGGTAATAGCATTGTTTTTTGCCAATACCATTGGTATGGAATCCATAAGGCTGGAAAATTTGAATTTATCTGGGTGCTGACGGTAAACATGGTCACTGAGAATCTGAGTGGCTCTTTTGTTCTTCTCATCCTCAAGAGAGCCAGTAGGTATCCACCCAATACCTTTTAGCCAGTTAAGATCGGACTTGTACAAATTCTGAAATGGCAAATGAGAAACCACTAACTATAAACATATGTCCCAAAAGAAAAAAAAATGTATTACATTATATATTACAATATCATTTTATTATAGTGCATTTAAATTATACATATATACAAAGATATGTAGATGATACTATCTACCTATGTTCTATAATATATCCATGCTATTTTAATGTTTAAATTCTTGGGTAATTTCAAAATTTTGGTATGAATCATAAAAAAAGAAAAAAACCCAATTAGAAACATTCTTTGCAAAACACATAAGAGTGTAGATTGATTTAGTTTTCCAGTTCTTTGGATCAGCAGTCTTACTGCCTCCATCAAAGCAAAGGGACTCTGCTAGCTCACCCTTGTAGAATAAAGATGCCTTCAGACATTTGGGTGACTGGAGAGCGCGTGGGCCTTAGTCCAGGAAAAGAGAACCTGGTTGTGCCAACTCAATTTCCCTCATGTCAGGGGAATTTTGATGCTTAAGAAAGCAGTCACAATATTTAACTGAGCAAAGGAAAACCTTAGACTCACATCACTCTGGAGGTCATAGGCCTGCCGGGCGTGGGTGACGTCGTTCTGGTCGGGCAGACATGTCCACTGGTGCAGGTGGTGCTTGTAGTCCACGTCGCTCACCAAGGTCTGGCACTTCTTGGCCAGCACCACACCCAGCATGTCCACCGGGCTGCTGAACTTGGTCTTCCACTTCTCGAAGTCCTTCTTGTACTCCCTGTCACTCTGGATCTTGGCCACATGCATGGACCACATCATCTTGGGGTCATCCTTAATGTTCCGTGCACCAATGTGGTGACCCAGTTGCTTGCGAAAGCCTTCTTTGTACTTGTACTAAGGGAAAAAAGTGTGTTTTTCCTTTCAAAATTAGTTCATATGCCCTTTTCGTGGCATATTACAAATCACATGGGCTCTAGGTATCTTATTAAGCCTAAGGAGATATGGATTTCCAGTTTTTGATAGGAAAGATTAAAGGCTAAATTCTGCTAAAAATTCCATACATAATAAATGTATCGTTGATCTTATCCTCATCCTATGCTTAAAGTCTGGGATCATTTCTCTCTGTCTTAATTTGCTACCCCTTAGAAGATTTTGTTCAATTTAAAATTAAATTGAGACTGCTGTGAAGTGATAAATTGCAATCAAATCAATACCAACAGGGGATAATGTCTTACTTCACTGGCAATTTCCCGGGATGCTTTCGCTGCTTTGATGGGTATGGCATCCACAGGGAGGTCGTAGCCTTTCTTCTTCAGCTCTTCATAACCCATTCGGTAGAGTTTCTGGTGAGAGATGAAGATCACTTTGAGAAAAAATAGTCTGCATACACAACTGCAGGAGAATGAGTCAAAATTGCTAAATATTTTAGGACTCCATGAGACCAGTATTTGTGCTGTAGGCTCCTCAAATGTAATTGGAAATTATGCCCATGGATTGCTGATAATCTTATTTTAAACTTTAGAGCATTGTGATTAACCTAGGTGCACACAACTAAATGTCAGCTCTTCCCAAATTCATAGGCGAATGCAGCAGAAATAAACTGACAGACGCAATATTATTTTGGTGCTGTCTTCCAATTAATGTGCAGTGCTTCACTGCAAGTTGTAAGAAAAGAGTGATGCCTTCCGTCTTACCCCCAGAGGGAAATGCCACAGGAGAGGGGCTACTGCTTCCTGTAGCTAATACATTGGAAAAGTGTCTGCCTCATAATATAGATCCCTGCAGAGAAGAATCAACATTTGTAGGCAACGTGAAGAGGTCTTCATAATTTTAAAAATATTGTATTTTAAGGAAAGTTCAAAATTTATGTGCAATAGCTTTTCAGATTTGTGACATAAAGGAAAAAGTGAGGCTAGAACTTAAGTGCACTTTAATCCAGAAACCAGATTGTTCAAAATGCCTACTGATCTTGCACCTGGGTTTACATGTTAGCATTCACAGTATTACTCCAATACATTCTTTAATGTTAAAGTGATTTTACTAGAACTTAGAATTTGTTTTTTAAATATTTAATTTTTACATCCTTAAATTTCAGGAGATTTTGCTATGATGACAATAAATATAAAAATGAAATTCTCCTGCAAGGTTTTGCGTGCTCACTTGCTCAAAATTTCATGGAGTAATATATATCAGGTACCCATTGCAGACCCAAGAATTGTCTTTGCCCACATGGAACACCTGGCCATATGGGGAAAGTGATACAAACCTTTACATTATGGTGCAATTTATAATAATAGGATCCAAGGAATAGTTAAAAAACTCCCTAACATGGCCCAAAAGGTGGAGTACATATGCTTGATGTTTCATCTAAAACCCACTAAATGAGAAACAGCAAGTACACCTAGCTCATTAATCAAAATGATTTAGGAATTCAAAAGAACTTCCCAATAGCTTCACTGGTGTAGAAGCAATTAAAATGAGATTTCTGAAACTTACATCGCTTGTATTGATTAAGTTTGCCTTAGCCAGAACGATGTCAGGTGTGTCTGGCATGATGTGAATTTGAGTCTTGTCCTTGTCCCACGCTTCTCTATAAAGTCTCTAAAAGGACAAATAAAAACTTTTCAATGCCTTGTTAGATGAGTACATGACATAGTTGGATTAGGACAGGATTACTAGATTCATGTGCATTAAACATTATAGTTGTTAACATAAGCAGAAAAAAGAGGTGGCTTTCTTCACTTGTAGATAATTACCTTTCAAAACATAGATTATGAGTCACTCCTTTAATTACATGTAATTCTACTTATAAAGTCAGTCCATGAAATTAGAACCTTTGCCAATATTATCAAATGGAACAGAATTCTCTGTCTTCTGGGTTGTGTAAGTCCTCCTTAGAGTTTAGTTAAAAGATGACACTTGCCTTCTCAAAAGACTTAGTCCAAGTAAGCCTAGGAATGACAGTTTCTTTTCTAATTTATTCTTTACAGCTATATTTCGTAATTATTTTGGAGGATCAGGATTCTCATAAGGATTGCTTGGAAATTTAACAAAATTTCTTGAAGGTGTTGAAGCCATTCTTATAGTAAAGTGGTAAAATTGAGTAAATTTTGCCAGCAAGTATTGTGTCAACATTGATTAATGGTTTTGAACATTCCACCATGGTTATGTAAGACAACATTGCTCTTTTTAAAAGATAACCACTGGGGCTGGAGAGATGGCTCAGTGGTCTAAGGCACCTACTTAGAACAAGCTTGGCAAAGCATCAGGGACCGCGGTTCAATCCCCCAGCACCAC